AGCCTTATAGCAAGGACATTCAGCATATTAACTACATCAATCCACGAGTCTCACAAGTGTGAGTAAATCATTTTTAAACTGTTCCTTTAAATGTGTGTCTAAATTTGGAGGTATGCTTGTTTCAGCCCAAAGTTCAATATTTTATGCCTTATGTTGGCACTTACCTGAGGGAGTGTTGTCACGTAACGTTTACAAAGAACGGGGACATATATCAGCAGTTCTCGGCATAGCACAGCATGATCACACAGCTTGCTTAATGGAGTTGATGCAGACCAACTCACAATGCGATATAAACAGCATCACGTCTGTTAGGTATGAGAGGGTCTCTCATTTTCTCTCTCTCTCTCCAAAAAATGGCTGCCCACTGCTCTGGGTGTGTGTGTTCACTGCTGTGTGTGTGCACTTTGGATGGGATAAATGCAGAGCACTAATTCCGAGTATGGGTCACCATACTTGGCCTCACGTCAATTTTTTTTCTTTTCTCATTTGTGCATGTTTCTTTAGCAATCTAATATGTCCACTTTAAGCAGACTTGAACTATTAGGATATAACTATTAGAATTTACTTAATGGTGCGTGTACACCAAAAGCGAATTTAATTGTTTGAACGAGCAGATTGCCACAAACACTCGTTATACGCCTCAATCGCATCTTCCGGGCAAGTTGAAAAATTTCAACTCAAGCACAAAACCTGCATGACGCGTTGTCACACAAGCCAATCAGCGAAGAGCTTATTGACACGTCCGGTTTGAGGCATCCATTTATATCAGAAAATGGAGGAGAGCATTACGCGATCATTTTATTGGCGTGATCAAAAATATTCTGTGAGTAATCTAGAGTGATAACGCGATGCGAATACTCACTTCGCTTTTGGTGTGCACACCCCATAACAGAATTCACAGTGTAGCAAAATCTCCATCAATACACAGTTCATATTTTCATCAAAATATATATGTATTTGTCATACCACTCAGCCTTATAGCAAGGACATTCAGCATATTAACTACATCAATCCACGAGTCTCACAAGTGTGAGTAAATCATTTTTAAACTGTTCCTTTAAATGTGTGTCTAAATTTGGAGGTATGCTTGTTTCAGCCCAAAGTTCAATATTTTATGCCTTATGTTGGCACTTACCTGAGGGAGTGTTGTCACGTAACGTTTACAAAGAACGGGGACATATATCAGCAGTTCTCGGCATAGCACAGCATGATCACACAGCTTGCTTAATGGAGTTGATGCAGACCAACTCACAATGCGATATAAACAGCATCACGTCTGTTAGGTATGAGAGGGTCTCTCATTTTCTCTCTCTCTCTCTCTCTCACACACAAACACACACACAAGCTGCTATTCAAAATCTGTAGCTCAGCTCTGGGCTCCATCCTCCACCTCCCACTGAGCTTTCTACTCAAGGGCAAATAACAGAGGATACAAACCAACTCCACCATCAACTACCAATCCCATGTCAACAACAACTCAGATCAGCCAATACAAGAAATATCTGTATTTGATCTGGCTTAAACAAAGTATATTTCTACTTGGAAACATGAACTGAGGTGTTTTTAATAGCTTATATCAGACTTATTGGATAAAACGGGATGGTTCACATTTGATTCTCAGTATCATTACAATATAGTAATCATTATAATTCAGTATTAATGATATACTTGACGTATCGATGTTTGTTTGTTTGTTTTATTAAAATCTTTATAAATTCATTTTATTAATTACATATTTCACAATATAATTCATATAGAAATTAAATTATATTTATATTTCCTTTTTTACACCAATTTAATTTTTATAAAATGCAAGCAAATTCAAAAGTAAAACAATAGGATGTATCACAGTTATAAAAACTGGAGAATGTACTTAATTTTTATGGAAATAATACCATAATGCAAAAGAAAAACCAAAACCATTTATGATCCTAAAATAGGCTTTCTTTTCCTTTATGCATACAGTTTCTTTTTTTTACTTTATAGGATTCATACTATAATAGGAAAGGTTTCATATTTCTGGATTGTTTTTTTGGATTGCCATAGTAATTCACTTTTCCACCTCACTACAACAGAGTAAGTGATGGCATTATAGAAATTACAGAGTTATTTGGCAACAATAACGATAAAATGTTAAACCATCTCCTTTATTCATTATCTTTCTCTTAGTCTCTGTTTGTCCATCTGTCTTGTATTGAATGTACGAATAATCCTTTGGCGCTATATGCATATGAATCACTTATGACTTCTATGTATTTAGATACCTGTGCTGATAACTTAATAATAGGGCCTTGCTGGCATATGGACGCATCTGATATGCATGAATAGCATATAATGGCCCTCCCAGAAAGTCAAGCATTGGGTCACATTCTGATACTGAAGTAACCAGAGATGGATGGGTCCCTATGAGACATTTGACACACAAATGCACACCGGGGACATACTGGGGGGTAGTAAATGAATGTAACTAGTCACAAATGTGGTATTTGAACCAATTTTATATGTCTGAGAACACTGTAATTTGCTAGAATTATGCTACATGCTGTACAAATATAAGCACATGCACAGCATTCAAACAGTCACACAAATGCAAGATAACCAAGGTCAGTTTCTCTGTCACCTAATTAATAATAGAGAATTGAGGCAGATGACCGGCGGCGAGGCAGAACACCACCCCCTCCAGCTCTCACTAAAACACCACACACATACAACACATACAGACAGACACACACATATACACCTACTCCTGTAGGATGCCATAACCTTGATGATCATGTGACTGAATTATAATGCCTTCACTGTCAGCTAAAAGCACCTTCACCTGCATATGAATACAGCTATCTCTAAATAACTGAATTACTATTAAGGTTAACACAGATAAACCTTGGATGAATGTCAAATGTATTTTTAAAAAACATACATCAAAATCATGACCTCAGATAGAGGTCATTTCATGACAACTGACTGTTAAGGCTATTGGATAATATATTAGCTAATGAATTCAAACTAAACTACAAAGTCTTGTAATGCACTGATATATGTGATTACACTCTATGGGATTCAGTTACCTTTCACATATTTTTGCGCTTGGTCAAATGCACAAAAACTTGGCAAAATGCCTGTCTTGGAGAAGAGTCACATAAACAGTCGGTTGTGTATTAAGTGAACATAAACAGTTGCAGAAGAAATCAGACGTGTGTCAATATCTATACCACACCTGTACATACAATTTATTCTTTTTTTTTTGTGGTTTATATTTATGCATGTGTATTTTATTCACATATCATTTTTATTATCTGTGTGTTGTTGTTGTCTCCGTGTACTGGAAGCTTGTGACACTATAACAAATTCCTTGTATGTGCAAACATACTTGGCAATAAAGCTCTTTCTGATTCTGATTCTGATTCTGATATAATGGATCCATGCATTAGGTCTTAAAGTGACAGCAGCCTAATATATCTTGACATATAATGTTATCATGAAATAAAATGACTTGATTTTTGTCCCCTAGCCTACCTTGCAACTCTTTATTTTTTTATATAATTTTAGTAATTAAAGTTAGTTAGTAGTTAGAAATTAAATTATATTAAATAAACATTACTTTCAAATTAGCTGTTGTTTTGTACCAAACAGACAACACCATCTCATGGCAATTCGTACATTTTGGTGAATTGGTGGCTAATTCGTAGTTAGTACGTTTTCGTACGATCTGCTTATGCCTCAGTGAAGGTTATGTTTAGGAGTAGGGTTAGGGGAATTAGAAAATTCATAGGAAATCATGAGGTTGTAAAGTAGTTTTCCCTGAGGTCAGATAAAAGCATGGCAAAGTATAGCGTGAAAGCCGGCTAGACATTGTATATGAATGGAGCGGAGTAACAGAGCTGAAAGTGTTCTGCAATCACTGGTAAAAAATCCACTCCGGGTTTTCTATTTCACACTCCCTGAACACTAGTAAGAAAAACACACACGAGGAAGTAATAGGAAGGGCTCCAGTGCTAAATATGATCACTCTTCTTGGAACCTTTGGTTCAGTTCCATTTCAGGTGTGTTTACCCTCTGCATGTGCATGAGGAATGTATATGTTTGAGGAAAAATCCAATAGGTACATGCGAAAGTATTGAGATTTCTTAAGTCTTAAATGCACATACATTAACGAAATTTCGTCAAATTGCTCGATTTTCGGCGAAATTTCGTGAGCAACATAAAAAAAAATCAAATCTATTGCCAGAAGTACTGCGAAGAATGACGCACAGCTTCCAAAAAAATCCCTTTCAAACCAAATAGGTGTTGGTTAACGAGACGAATCCCCAGTTGCAAACAACCAGACGGAGAGCAAAGGGGTGCTAGAGAAAGCAGACGCGTATTTCAAAGTTGAACTACTTTTAACTTGCCACAAAACAGCGAGACGCGACGCTAACGTCCGCCTACCGCAGATGTAGGCTACACCGACTAACAAAACCAGCGTTAACAGAATGCAAGAACCCCATCCAGTGTGCTGAGGCGCTGTCCAGCGCGACGGAGATCACCTTCAGCAGCCGGGCGTGCTGGACAGCGCCTCAGCGGAGCAACTCACACCTCCATCCCTCCCCACTTACATTTACATGCATTCATTTAGCAGACGCCTGTGTCCAAAGCGACTTACAAGTGGGGAACACATCAAGCGATTCAGAGGCAAACAGACACAGGAAGTGCTGGTAATACCAAGTTTCAAGCAATGTTCAAATAAGTACAAGCTAGACAGGGAAAGGAGAAATTGCCAGCCAGGAACGACGAACGAAAATGTTCTGGAAAGTGATTTTGTGCCTCTCTGTGATGGTACCACGATCTTGCAATTAAATATACAGCAGCGTCTTATATAAGTAACGTTCGCCAGCCTGACACTGGCTTGAATGCTTTACAACCATTGAGTTCACTACTACTAAGTTGGCGTGCATTTGGTAAAAAATACCATTTAAAAAAATGTAAGGATTTCCTTAAAACATCCACGTCAATGTGCCTACCTGATTATGTCATCGTTGTGTCCCAAATAAAATTTCTGCTTGTGTTCCCGTGTGTTGTACACAACTCCGACGCCGGCGACAAAGTACACGATCTCCTTGGCCGCGGTGTAGTACAGGTTGTTGCGGCACTGGTGTCCCCGGTAGCCGTAGACCCACTCGAGTCGTAGGCGACAGTTGGGAGCTGTTCTGTCAGCCATGTTCGGACGTGTTTTGCTTTGAAGCGAACGGCTGGTGCTTCTTCATTCACCGACGCGACGAGCCGTCACATTCAGTCCCGTTTATCCGCTCAGTCCGCTGTCAGCGCAGCTTCGTCCGGCCAAAGACAAACGGATCGACGACATGTTTCAATTCAAGTGAAGTGCACAACTTTAGGCGGTTTGCATAATGTTAGGGCAAATGCTTTGTTTTGTTCAGGCGCTGTAAATCGGCTTGGACTACTTGTGACATGTGCGAGGCATGAAGCTACTCTCTCTACTTCAGAGCGGATGGGTGGCTTCGCTCTAGTGACATGTCAAAACCGGGAACATGGATTTTTCGCATTAGTTAACTGGGACCGGCCAATCGCGAGCCGGTGGTCGTGACTGACAGAGAGTCTGTCCAATCAGGTCGCGAGGATGAGTTGAATAAAAATGTGTGGGCCAATGGCGAGCAGGAGGAGGTGGGCGTAAGGCGTCTACGCTACGGCTCTGTGTATGGCCTGCTCATTAAGCACAAACGGCAGTTTAACAGCTTTCGTTGTAGGCCTTCTGCTACAGTACACTAGTTTAACTCTGCGAGGTCTTTCTGAACTCTTTCTGACCTTTACAAAACCAATGTTTCTGTTAAAGACAGAAAACGGGACAAGATATTAATCTAATTTGTTTAATAGATGTAAAAAGTCTTCTAATTATTTTTCAAGTTTTCTCACCTCAATGTCACTGTAGTATCATATACACATCATATAGTTTTTATACATATTTGTATTATTTATATTTTGTTTTATTTTAGTTTTAGTAATTTTGTTGTTTTGTCATTTATTTAAATCTATAGTTTAAATAGTTTTTATTCATATTTATTTCTGTACCAGTGTTACTATATATATCCGGTACATCAAGTTAATATATGTAATATTAAATATGTTAATAATAGGCATGCTAATAAGCAACTAGTTAATAGTGAGAATTGGTCCCTATTAGTGCTGCCAAAACGATTAATCGCGATTAATCTGGTAAAAGTTTTTGTTTACATAATACATAATATGTGTGTACTGTGTATATTTATTATGTATATATAAATACACACACATGCATGAAAAATATGTTATGTTTATATTTTAAATATATTTATATATAATATATGACTATAAATATATACATGTAAATATTTTCTAAATAGATATTGTATGTGTGTGTATTTATATATACATAATAAATATTCACAGTGCACATACATATTATGTAAACAAAATTTTTTATTTTGGATGCGATTAATCGCGATTAATCGTTTGACATCACTTGTCCCTATACTGAAGTGTTTCCAGTATTTTTATACTTTATTTCAAGTAATCTTTTTTTAGATAGTTTTAGTTAATTATAATAACTCTGCATCACATATTTTCATTGTTTCGGTTCTCTCTCTCTTTTTTGAAGTTAAACTGGTTTTAAACAGAAAGACGTGACTCAACGTCTACTTTACGCATGTCTATAAATATATACATGTAAATATTTTCTAAATAGATATTGTATGTGTGTGTATTTATATATACATAATAAATATCCACAGTGCACATACATATTATGTATTATGTAAACAAATTTTTTATTTTGGATGCGATTAATCGCGATTAATCGTTTGACATCACTTGTCCCTATACTGAAGTGTTTCCAGTATTTTTATACTTTATTTCAATTAATCTTTTTTTAGATAGTTTTAGTTAGTTATAATAACTCTGTATCACATATTTTCATTGTTTCGGTTCTCTCTCTCTTTTTTGAAGTTAAACTGGTTTTAAACAGAAAGACGTGACTCAACGTCTACTTTACGCATGTGTTCCACGGGAGAATATTAATAATTTTAACAGGTCTGAAGTAACATAAGGGCGAGTAAATGTGCTAATGACATAATAATAGGGCTCTGCTGGCATATGGATGCATCTGACATACATGAATATCATATGATGGCCTTAAAACGTCAAGCACTGGGTCACATTCTGATACTGATGCAATCAGAGATGGTAAACCATGGTCCCGATGAATTCTGAGCCTGGTGTATGAATATATAGGTAAGAGGAGTCTTATATGAGACCTGAAATCAATTCAAAATGATAGAGACAGAAAATTTAGTAGGTGAGGAGATTTTCTATTTGATAGCACAATGAAGGCAAAAGTACAGAGACAAAAGATAAAGCGGTGTTGAAGGCTGTCATTCTCTCAACCGACTCAGACTTGGAGCATTTTTCATGATGTACAAAATGCTAACTTAATCTGAACACACTCCCCATTAATCATATAAACATATTCCAACACTCTTGATATAAATTCCTATTGCAAGCAAGAGGCTACATGTCCAATTAAAAAAAAATTGTTATTGAAATGGCATCAAAATGTTAATGACCACTTAATTTATATTCCATAACAATGGAGTGAGTTACTATAGAAAAGGATATTAAACAGTTTGGTATACCTATGAAAATATTCATCTTAAAAAATGGACCCCATCAGAACAAGAAAAGCATTAACATAAGGTGCAAAGGGCCAGTGGAGTGGCACTAAATATTCACTTCATATAAACTGAACAGAACGGGAGCAGATGCTGATGACAGCAGTCCATTCGCACCGCTCGTTTACCACATTAAGACATTATTTGTCAAATATCTCCACACATTCATTCCTCTCACAGTGAACAAAAACAAGCTGTTTTCTGTTGGTCTTCAAACGTGTAGG